AACGCAGATACGCGTAAGCATCTAATGATGTGTGCATTCTGGTTAACACCATCCTACAAGCACAATAAATTATCCATATGCAATATGTAGGCACAGGGACGGGGCTATACTTGATTTACTTGGTCAAATCAGTGGACTGACCAATAGCGAAGCGCATTTCCAGTTGTCCGCTTCACCCACTTCGCTATTGGTCAGGTCACTTATATGACCAATGGCGAAGAATGAAGTGGTGGACCAAGCGGATCAAGTGGATCAAGTATGGCGCGTGTCACAGATACGCCGATAATCTCAAAGCGATAGGTAAAAGGCAAAAGTTTATGCACTTACCAACAATGCATCAATGTCAGCTTATACCAAGTGGACATATAGTCAGGGAGACCAAAAGCTAAAAAATCTCATAGAATTCAAAGAACTCCGTTTCTAATAACGAATAACGAACTCTTGGAAGTAGTACCAAAAACTATATATATACCTTCACATAACTTCTCGTAGTCATAGTTGTTAGCACAATTATAGTAAAGCTGAGCAGAAGCACTATCAAGTAGCTAAAAAAATAGACTGACTATTGAATTTACGTCACAAAAGCTGAACTCACACTTTTCAACATGGGATCCAGGACATTCTTGTTCATTCTGTTTCTCCATGCTGCCCGTAATCGAAACAATGGTTTTGGTAGACGTGAAGGTGGAGCCGCGAGTAAATTCTGAGCAACCTCGTCTACAGTTAACTGGAATAGCGAGACAACTACGGGTGAGGAGTTTTGACACTTCCTTTTTGAGCCTATTCTAGTCAGTAACAAAATAAATCACCCAAAGAACAGCATTACCTTGCGTCTAGTCGATGGATCGCTTGAAGTTGATGCTATACTTCTAACAGGAACAATTCTACGCACTATGGAACGTGCTAACATCTCATACGTGCCTGAAAATAGCTTCAACAAATTCTGAACTTCAAAATATAGCAGCAATTTGTTGCTTAATGAGTAATATAACAAGGAAGCTAAAGTGGTAGCAAGTTTTGGGTTGCTGCGGCTAAGAGGCATCAAACGCAGCGCGTCTGTTCGACGTAGCCGTGGAGCAAACTTGTAGAGAGAGCGGCTTCGCTTCGCCCCCACAGGACGCGTCAGGCAACGGTGTCAAATAAGGAGAGGGATTAGCTACTAACTGAAAATTTTTTTCTGAATCTTAGAAATATGACTGCTTTTGCATTGTAGCACCTGTGTAGGTAGTTAGCAATTATCTCAAGTGACCCTTTAAAAACAAACGAGGATCATTTTTCGGAGTTTTTCTCCTTTTTTGCACTTTTAGACTTCCATATTCTCTGTCACACCATTGCTTACGCAGTGGTTTTATAGTCTGAAGAAAATTCAGAGTAGATCTTCCGTAATTTTTGAATCTCATCATCTCCGGAGTAAAACTGAAAATTTCAAACTTTTGTATTTTGCTCTCCATCTTTAATCCAAAAAACCTTCAGAGATAAAGCGTTACTAAAGTAACATGACTTGAGCACATGTGACTGTGTTTTTGAGCAAGTCATTTTGTTTATGGTTTAACATTAAAACGTCAACTATCTAATAGCCGTTAGTTTTTCTCTGGGGAAGAAAAAAGAAGGAAGTGAAACATCTATGAAAATCTTTTCAGTAATGTGATGAGTTTTTTTCAAATTTGAAAGAGCATTAATTGGGTTTTCGCTGAAAAGTGCAAAACGTGAGACTTCGTCTGCGAAACGAATCGAGTGCACAAGCATGAAAATTTCTGAAATTTTTCTCTCGCTTTTCATTTGCAAAGATTTAATTATCTTCAACTCCTGAAATGTGAGATAGCGGTTTTTTTCTAAAGGTAGCTCGAAATTAGATTTGAAAAAATCTTTGTATCTAGTCTGCAAATGCCAAAAGGGTTTATACTAGTGCACATGGTATGTTAGTTTTCTTTACCTAATTCTTGTTTCAATATTCCTTTTCTTGGTTGCTAGAATTTTCTTAAACGATAAGTGCTTGCTATTCTCAGAGAGAATGTCATTGTCGTAATGTCTAAATTAGCTTGTTTTGTTTTTGCGCAGTCCATTCATCAATGTAGTTGACAACTTCGGATTTCTCGTAGACTCTCTTGATCTTGATGAATGATATGTGTTTTTTACCTCTTCTCTGTCAAGATTTTTGGTGGAAAACATCCGCTAAGAATAAGTTTCGAATTGTCAGAAGTTCAATGATAATTTTTAGCCAGAATATGCAAATTATTAAGAGTTGTCTGATAAAATGCATTTTTTTGGGCGTGTTTATCCACGGTATAAAAATCGCATAAACACTTGTTCAGCCATTCCCAATTTTTTTGGAGGAGTTTTTGAAGGCATTACGATTTTATGGAAAAATCGAGCACTAAACGGTATGAAAGTCGGAGACGTTTATGTTTTTCTGCTGATAAAAAATGTTGACCAAAGACGACAAGGGTGAAGTTTCCTGCTGTTTCCGTCGTTGTTCCTTTTTGACTGATACATATCCGACAATGGATGTGATTTTGTGTTATGGCTTGTAAAACTGGCATCAAGCCAATGGTTGACGGTTGATTTACATACAATCAAACCACGAATAGCTGCATTTAATTTTGAAGCTGCTATAATAACAATATTGCTTTCTGGCTTACAGACACAGCTGTTCATAGAATCTAGATGCCGTTTGGGACATGGACTAGCAATTTATACCAACGACGCTCCTAGAATTTCCGTCTGGGGTAGGGCGATAAAAATGCGGTACGCCATTGATTTGCAGATCACAAAATCTTTTATCTTGTCAATACCTTTATTGGCAAACTTCCCTACAGAAAAGATGTCTCTCGAGTTAGAAGAAGTTTCGTTCGCATTTCAAAAATGATTCTCGAAAAAATTTCTTGTTGCCTTTGTTTTATTCTGCCAGCTACGCAACAAATTCAACTCAAAGGGAATTGTAGTCAAGCAGTTGAAATGACACCCAAGGGAGTAGGTCATCTGTCTTCTTTTCGCTTAATCCATACATCACAACATTATAAAATACTGCTCTATCTTATGAACGTCTCGTACTTTGTACTTTAGATGTATTGTTATCTACATATCTGTGTAAGTGGGACTTAAGGTTGGCTGTATAACAATTCTTTGATTAATCTCACATGTTTCTTTGTATGGAGGCTTTCAAGTCTTGTAAAGTCGCCATTTTTTTACGAAAAAAAAATGAATCGGCGGTGGAAGCGCTGTTAGCATTATGACTAAACTAGGAGAACTATTTTAGTATCAAGAAAGCAAAGCATGATTTTTTGACTGAATCAAGGCTTAAAGATAAGTGTTTATCTGTGTGGCTTTTTGCCGCTTTTCAGTAAACTACACTCCCTAATCTTGCTTCCTGGACGATTTCGCAAATCTTTCCTACGAATTTCTTTATGTTTTACTCCATCTGCTTTTCTTTAGGCAATGTGGACTGTAATATTAGTCTATGTAGTTAACATTTACCATGTTTATCATCTGTTTTGGAGGCTGCTTTACTGACATTTTTTGGGTTGAATCGCCTATAATGCTAATATTAGGTCGTTCCGAAAGTTCATTCCGTTTTTTCGACTTACCATAAAAACCCGTGGGATAGAGACGACCAAACAATTTCAGGACTATTCGACGCAGTTTCTTCCTCTTTTTAACAGTCATATTTTCGCACCATTTGCTCAAGTATTCGCTAAATTGCAGAAGTTTTGAGCCCATGTTCTTTACGCCCAAGTTTGGCAATTTTTTATCTTGAACTTCTGGATGAGTTTACTTTACAGCTGGATAGAGCAAAAAAAGTACTACAACGTTAAATTTTTCGGGACCTTCAACTGGTTTTCTACTTTTATGAACCCAACAGATTTCACATTTAGTTCAAGAAAACCTCAAAGGGCGTCAACCGGCAAACAATGGGCATTGTTCAATTCAGCGTTTTCCTTTCTAGTGGGTGTTATTTCGACTTTATAAAAAAAATAATCTGTAAAAATATTGGAAAGTTTGATGGAGAAGCACAAAAAATATATAGCGTATAGCCCTTTGTTTACACTATCGATCTGTTATCACAGCTAGTTCAGTAGTTGGGATTGAAAATTTTGAAAAATCGCCAAACTTGGGT